TCTGTAACGCCTGCCTCTGACGTGAAAGGAATTTCTGCTTGGAAATACCATACTTGTGCCAGAATACAGTGTTTGACCTTTCGGGCTGCTAACTATTTGAAAAATGCTTGGTAATGCTAAGACAATTCTGATTCCTGGATATTCCTACTGTTTTTCTTGCTACCTAAGGTTTTGTGCAATTCATCTGAGTTGAGTGCCTTGAAGGCAGTGGGCGCATGTTTGTTCTTGTAGATAAGGAATGAGAAGTGCCCACACTTCTGGCTCTTCTTCCATTTGAAGTACTGCTACAGAATTCTATTTGAATAGAGAAACTCGTCTTTTTCTTACAGCATAATTTGAGTTTCTTGAGGCAGTTGAGTCCAAGAGTAGGAGAGATTCTCGTGAAGCTTTTTTAAGCAAACCTTTCTGCTGTAACTGCTGAGGTAGAAAAATAGAGCAAATTCTTAAGCCGTGCTTGATCAGTGACTGGAAGCTGAAGAATTGTTGGTTAATTTTTCCTTCTTTAGCTCTTCATGTCTTCTATGACAATATTTGAATGGTCTAGCCAGAGCCTTCCCATATGTAGAAGTTTCTGGCCCTGTTGTGGGGTCTCAGAATTGTAGCATCCATCACATTCTATTTGAAACACTGAAATTTCAGATGCTTGCGCATTTGACACAGAGGCAAGATTGGACTTGTCTCTAGGAAGGCAGCATCTTCTTAAAGCTGCTACTTGCTACTTGATTGCAGTGGAGTGTGCAGCTGCTTGAAGGAGAAGACAAAGTTAACCTCATTAAAATCACTGGATAATTCAATCTTCGACCTAAGCATGCAGAAGGCATTTCCCAGTTCTCTCTCTTGTAATATGCCTGAGAGTGTGTGCTTGAGGAATCTCCTACATGCTAACTCACAGCCAAGTAACATTTATCAAGTAACAAAACTTTTGCAGAAGCAAAAAATATGTGTATTTCTAGAAATACAAAAGGAGGAAATCTCTTGAGAACAGTAGAGTAAAATATGTTCTAAGGAATTCAAATGACAGGGATGCAAGCCAGTGCCAAATGTGAAATGTCTGGGTTGCTTCTGAAACTGCCTGAAGCAGCTTCTGATCTGTGCACTAGAAGTGCTGCTAAGTTTATACTGACTTACAGTTGCAGTAACTGAAACTGTGTTATTTGTACTGGTAATTATATTCAGTTCCTTTTATTACAGTTACTTCATTAAAGAATGAAATAGAGTTAATCTTTTGAAGATTTTTGTTGAAACAGAAGTCTATTAAACTGTCTTACCTGGCTGCTGCAATAAGAGGATATGCAATTAATTTAGTAATCTGACTTTTTTAGTAATGAACCGTAGAAAATGGCTTAGTTTTATTTGAAAAATTAATGTTTTGCATTAGTAATTTAAGTATTTGCTGTTTGTAGTGGGTTGTTTTATCATCTCCCATTGCATACATCACCTCACCTTTGTTCTATATGTTTGCCTCTTAAAAATCGTTCCTTAACATGTTCCTCTTTACTTCTATTTGTCATTTCATTCAACTTAATGTGAAGAAAAAATAATTAGAAAATAAAATTTAAGCTACTGTAGCCCTAACATTGCATTTTTCATCCCCGTATCATTGTTCCTGTGTGTGATAGTCCTCTTCTGCTCTGCCTAAAGGAAAATTATATAATGCATGGCACAGATTTCCACTTAATGGCTGGCCAAAGGTACCACCATAATAGTTGCAAGTGACAGTAGAAGAATTCTAGCCATCAGCCATTTATTTGGAAAAGAATTTTCCCTTAGGCCTTGTAGTCTGTTACAAAGGAGGGGACAAAATAGAAAAAATACAAAAGCTAGTGCTCACAGGAAGGTAATTCAGAATTGGTGTTAGAGCGAGTTATGTTCTGGTTGCTCACATTTTAACATTTAATTTAAATTATTGATAAGTAGGTATTTATTGCAGTCTCACTCTTCCTTAAGTACTTAATTGAAGAAATTGACTCTAGTCTTGCTAGTGGAAAAAATGCTCGCAATGGAAATACAGTGCATGGAACTGAACTGAGAGGCCACTCTGACCTTCATGGAATCTTTGCTTCAATTCGGTGTGTGGAACTTTCAGGATTCTAGCAAAATCTATACTGCTTTGGGAGCACATGCAGATTTAATACAGACATAAGCTGCAGAAAGGCAAACAAGTTTTTCTAATTTTTGGATTCATGCTTCTTAGTTCATTGTTCTTCTGTGATGATTACTAAAGTAGCAGGTAGCAACCAATGGAAAAGTGTGAGGTTTGAGTTTTGATTGTATCCGGAGGCTTCTTTGGTGAGTAAAGATGCATTTCCACCAGTAATAAGTAGGTGTAGTCTCTCCAGTATTTGGGCCCAGCTGTAGAACTAGATCCATCCTTGTCATAGCAGAACAGGAGATTTGTTGATTAGTTCTATGAAGCAGCCTATGGACCAGACTTAAGATACTTTTCATAATGACTTATATTTTCTCAGATGCATGGGAAGGATAAATGTGAATTTTTTTTCTGTGAGAGTGCTGTTTGAAATTAATCAGGATGAGTACTGTGCTATTTCCAAGTATTTCAGTATGACTTCTGTTCTTCAGGAATTCTAACATGATTTTTATGAAGAATGATGCATTGCTTCGAAATGATGGAATACTTTACGATGGAAGTGATGATTTTAGCATACAGACTAGTTCTATGAAGCAGCCTATGGACCAGAAAGCATCTTCCTAAGTTGCTAGGAAGAGACTGAGGCAAAACAGCATCAAAATAAAAAAGAAAATAAAAAATTTTGTGAATCATGAGAAACATGATACTGTTTTCATCAAGAATACCTATAATACTTTAATCACCGGTCTCGCAGTTTTATAGTTGTTGCTTTTACTGAATCCTTGCAGTGTTTTTCAGATCCTTGCAGTGTTTTCTCAAACCAGCTTTCCTCATAAAAAAAGAAAACTCCAGCACTGGAGCGTAGAACCCAAAACCACAAGAGATTTCTGAATGTGGAAGATCTTGGCATTTGTTAAGACTTGGTGTCACTTGGTATTGTCAGTCACCTCAAGATTAGAGGTTTTCCTTTCACTTCTGCTGTACACTGACTTGTGACCCTTCTGTACAGTGCTGCCTGTCCTTTGCCCACTGCTGGCAGTGGGTCATCACTACACGGGGACAAAACAGGGAGTAAAATCATTTGTAAGCCTGGAAACAGCCACCAGCTCTGACCCAAGGCAGAGTCTGGCTGCATGTGTACTTAGGAGTCAGGAAATGTTCTTTTTAGGGGTAGCATGGTCTCTATCCAGTTGCACACTCAATTTGCTTGCAGTAGAAGAAAAACTGGTACTTAAAACTTGGCAGTCTGGCTTCTAAAGGTGAAGGGGTCTTTTTCTCCCTTCACACAGCTCACTTGAGATCTAGCGAAATGGAGAGATACTGAAGTTTTGTTAACAGTCAGATGAAGATAAGTGTGGGAATACTCTGAAATTGTGGTGAAAAGCAGCAAGGAAACAGCACTCTGTGTCTGTTCTAGAGCCCTGCTGCAGTAGCTGCTGACTTCAGCATGTAAGTTCATTTCAGGGAAGACAGTCTTCAAAGATATTCCGAGAGTGCTGGAGGTTTCTTTTAGAAAACACATCTGAGGCCAGGGAACAGCTTAATGCAGTTATTTGCCTCTGTCCATGTACTTGTGATTTCTTACTGTTTCTTTATAATCTGGCAATGATTTGAAGTCTAGTAATGTTTTACTGTATTTGATGAGATTTTTGTTACCAGAAAACTCTCATGAGGTTTGCCCAGAGTTTTCTAGAACGTGTATATCTGCTTATACATTTTATTATGTTTTTTGAGACATTTACATTGGCTGCATGTGACTTGAGCCTGGCACCTCTGCTCTTTCAAACACCATTTCTTGCCTATGGTGCTGCTTTGGTCTTCTGGAACAAAGTTGATTTCTCTCCCCTTCCTGCTCCTCCCCAAGTGCATCATGAAGTGGTGCTTTGACAAATCCTACTTCTGTAATTCTGCTCTCTCCACATTTTACTCTTGTAACCACATATTTTTAATTAGGATCGTCTTATTTTTCGTCTTTTTTACCTCTTGATTTAGGTTTTTACAACCTGTAAGTTTGACTTGATTGGTTAATGTAGCTGTTATCCTATTACGTTTACAGCCAGATCTCATTTTTCAAGATCTCATTTTCCCTTCAGCGTTTTGGGTAGATGAACATGGGTCATAGTTCTTCCTTTGTCAGTACTGTTCTTGTTTCATTAAGAGGCTTTATCTGCTCGCTAAGTGTGGCAGGCACATCTCAGATGTTGCAACAAAACAGGCTGAATGATAAAATGCTTAAAAATCCAAAGTGACACTTGTAAGCCATGGATTTGCTTCTGGAATAGTTCTTTGTCATGAAAAGATAATATAAATAAGATAGATACTGACACTTGTAAATTTCAATCTTTAGTAGTGTGAGACTAGAACTAAGAATGAACTTTGAGTCTTTAGCTTTGGAATGAGTAATGATACTGTGGACAAGGTATGGTTTCAGAAGGTGTTTGCCTTAATCAATCTTTAGAGGGTACATAAAAGGGATGCACTCAGTATTCCAAGCAGCAATGCCTTCTTAATAATAAAATAATAGTTCTTTAGTAGTACCTATCATTTGCTAAAGCAGCCAGGCCTGTATCTTCATTATTGTGCCCATCCTTTTCCAAAGCACCTTGTTTCAGTTGGCTCTTAATAAATGCAATTTTTAAAGTGTAACTTGTGAAGGACACTGATCAAATACACTTCCCCCTGTAAATATGCTGCCAAAGATTACACCTGCTTTCTGCAATATCCCCAGTTAAAATGTGATCAAAGATACTTTATGAAAATGAAATTATGTGATGATATCTACAGTATTTTTTTTTTATTGAGAAATTATTTTAGAATAGCTTCTCAAATTTTGCCCAGGTATTTTTTCAGTGTGTTAATGTACATATAAACAGCAGTAAAGCTGAAGTTAAGTTGCTATTTTTATATGCAGGTCTCTACAATCCAAGAACTTGTTACTGGTTACGAAGCCTCTTTGAGAACATGTGACCTTTTTGGTCCATGTGGTAAGTTTCTATGTATTGATTCTTGTCTTAATGATGATGTAATTACTGTTTCTGGCAGCTAAGAAGAATTGTTGTAACTCTGAAACTTATTTTGCAAGAGAAGGATGTAATAAATTAATGTTTAGTAAATGAAAGCATTATAGGAAATACCTGATGAATTTGCTACGATTTATTTTTTTGTATGTTTTTCAAGTGCTGTGTTCAGTCTTAATTTGTTTCTGTTTTGTTCCAGAAAATGGAGAGAGAGAGCCCCCAACGACGCTGCTCTGGGTTCGGTATTTCCTGGCACAGCACTTTGACAAACTTGGCCAGTGTTCTTTGGCCTTGGATTACATTAATGCTGCAATTGCAAGCACTCCAACATTAATAGAACTATTCTACTTAAAAGCAAAAATTTACAAGGTAAAAAGTGAATTTGGACATGTGGAGTATACAGCTTTTAAATTAAAAAAAAGAAAAAAAGAAAAACAAAAAAGTCCCATGAAACTGGTGTGAATGTGTGGATAGCACAGTGAGTATTGACTTTCATGTAGGTTTCTCCTTGTGCACTGTGCAGTCAGAAAATAAAACCCCTCTTCTCTGCTGAGATTTGCGAAAGTGAGTCGCAGCTTAAAGCAAATCGTTGATGTTCTTAAAAAATATTTATAAATGTGGTTGAGAATGAAGGGGGAAAGCAGAGGAATATTGTCTCTGTTACTTCTGAAAGAGAGATGCCAGTAATTGTAGATTTCAAGAGTTGGTCAATATAAAGTTTATCTTGAAATTGAGTTATTTAATTTCTCCATAACTACTTTCTTCCAACAGCATGTAGGTAACCTGAAGGAAGCTGCCAAATGGATGGATGAAGCACAATCTTTGGATACTGCTGACAGGTTTATCAATTCTAAATGTGCTAAATACATGCTGCGAGCCAATATGGTGAAGGATGCAGAAGAGATGTGTTCTAAATTCACTAGGGTAAGTTTCCTGTTATAATGAAGGGAGGTTTTGTTTGTTTTGTTTTGGCAGTTCTTGTTTAACTTTGCTAATGTAAGTCTTAATTTTTTACTAAGATCAGGAAGTTATCTTTTTTCAAGTGTCCATTTTTAAAATAATGCGTGTCATAGCTTGCACTTAGTGATAAATAACTGTCAAGAGCCAGTAAATTTTGAGAAAATGGTTATTCAGAGGTACTTGTCCAGAAGTACTTCTGTAGTGACATACTTCTGAAGTACCTCTCTGAAAATGCCCCCATTTGCCAATAATATAATTTGAGCTAACTGCACAGGAATGTGCAAGCTACTACATTCATTATGACTCAATACATAGATGTAATTTGGACTTGAACATTTCGTTGAAACTAGTGCTACAGACTACAGTTTTATAAGGCAGTTCCATTTATAAAAAGCAGGGCAAACAGTTTAAATGTGGTAATAGTTTTTTATATTTATATAAAATTCAGGTTCATCAAGTCTGGGTTTCCATATTATTTGTGTAACTGACTATGAAAGACAGCTACTTGATGGGGTTTCCTAAAACACGTATGTAAGTTAGGCTCTTTAATTCTTCTTAAGTGTGAAAAAACTTGAATGTGAATCCAAGCTTCCTCGGTATTTTTGGGAGCCATTTGAAACTTGACTGCTAAAGCTCAGTGGGATTGAGTACGCTCCCTGCAAGCTTGACAACACTAAGCTGAGTGATGCTCTTGACACAAGGGATGAGATCCAAGCTTGAAAAGTGGGCCCACGTGAACCTAATGAGGTTCAACAAGGCCATGAGCAAGGTGTGAGTCGCAGTAATCCCAGTTGTGTACAGACTGAGAGAATTCCTTCCCTGCAAGGGTGCTCTCAAGGACTTGGGAGTTCTGGTGGTGATAAACTTGATACAAACATTGTGCACTTGCAGCCCAAAAAGCCAACTGTATCCTGGACTGCATCAAAAGAGGGGTGGCCAGCAGGATGATGGGGCGGGTTGTCTCCCTCCAGTCTGCCCTTGTGAGGAACCCCCTGGAGTACTGCATTCAGGCCTGGGGTCCCCAGCACAAGAAAGATATGGAGATGTTGGAGCAGTTCCAGAGGAGAGCCACAGAGGTGATTGAGAGGATCAGAGCACCTCTCCAATGAAGACAGACTCAGTTGCAGCCTCCTAGAATTTAAAGGGAGCTTATGAACAGGGAGGAGACTGACTTCTTACATGGTCTGATACCAGTAGGACAATGGGGAGTAGTTCTAAAATTTAGAAAAAGAAGAAAAAAAGGGAGATTTAGATTAAATGTTATATTAGGATGAAATTTTTCACTGAGAATGGGATGAAGAACTGGGACGAGTTGCCTATAGAAGTTGTGGATGCCCCATCCTTGGATGCATTCAAAACTAGGTTGGATGAGGCCCTGGTTAGCTAGATATAATGGGATGCAACCCTGCCCACAGTAAGAGGATTAAAAGTAGGTCTTACAGGACCCTTCCAACCCAAGTATTCTGGCATTCTGTGAAGTCACTGTATATGATTGTGTGAAGGCAAGGGCAAGAAGTGAGTAGATACCAGTAATAAGATACGATAGATCTGTTCCTAAATATTTAAACATAATGAGTTGAATGGGATTTTCTTTGTATTGTCGTAAAATGTTCTGATTTCAGTGACTGGAATTCTTGATATTTGGATTGTGCTTCCAGTTTGTTCTCGATCTTGAATATTAAATATATAAAGATTTCATTCCCATGAAAAAGCATGAAGTATGAATCCAAACAGGTTTTGTCGGGCTAACAAACAAGTTCCAGTCGTGTTTGGAAAAAGATGGTAAACTCTAATGGCAAAAAGTGATAATTGCACTTATTTCAGGAAGGGACTTCTGCTATGGAAAACCTAAATGAGATGCAGTGTATGTGGTTCCAGACTGAATGTGCTGCAGCTTATCAAAGGCTAGGGAAATACGGTGAAGCCTTGAAAAAGTGTCACGAAGTAGAAAGGGTAAGTAGGTAAAAACACTTTATTTTATTCCTGTTAATAAAGATATTTGCAGCTGTAAACAGCACAATTTTCTTTGCATACAAGTTTTCTAAAAGTTTCTAAAGCAGGTTAATTCTTGGTGATTTACTGTAATAGCTAAGGATGGCATCTGTTATCTGTTATGTGTAAAACTATTGTGGAATAGTGAAAAGGATTCAGTATAAAATGTTGTCACCTACCTACTACTTCTGCACTAACTTCATGCTGTCTTTTTGCTAATTGTTTTTTAATAAGAGCAATCATATTTCAATTGGCTTTTAAAGAGTGCCTAAGCCTTTGAACATTATCATTATAGTTTTTGCAAACAAAATGAGATTTTCCTGGGTTTATTCTTCCTACTGACAGATTCTCTTGGATGGTCAGTATTATAAGAATAGTTCTATGCTTGTTAAATAATGCCTATAGTATCAGTTATAATTTTATCTCCATTTATATTAAAAATAGAGTAAGCCAGGGAAATGCCTTAGACTTGGTTTCCTTTTTTTCCCCTCCTTGAAGCATTTTTTTGAGATAACGGATGATCAATTTGACTTCCACACATACTGCATGAGAAAGATGACTCTTCGTGCCTATGTAGACCTTTTGAGATTAGAAGATGTGCTCAGGAAACATGCCTTCTACTTCAAAGCTGCTCGATCAGCAATTGAAATCTACTTGAAGCTTCATGATAATCCTCTTACCAATGAAAGCAAAGAACAAGAAGTGAATTCAGGTATCTAGACTATAACGGAGGCTCATATGTGTATGAAAAGTAAAAGCTTTTTAAGCTATATAAGTTATGTGCTATAGAATCAGTGAGTTGTAACATAAATGCCTTGTTCCATTTCTGTTGCTTATTATTTGATCAGTAACTGGAAAGAAATCGTAGATGACATAGAGGGGAAAAAAAAAAGCTGTACTATTCTCCCCACATCATATTGTAAAACCAGTGTGTGAATGAACCTAGCTGCAGCTAGAGTATTTGAGAGAGGAGTAGTATTTCAGAACCATAAGAGGAAAATCAAATTGAATTCAGCCATTTATACATTTAAACAGAAGATAAGTGTCAATAACTGGTGAATTATGAAACATAATGGGTAGATATGGTGGGAAAGCAGTCTGACTTGCTGTAAGAATTATATTTTAACATGTATTTAATCTTTATAGATTTGGTAGTGTTACATTATAGTGATACTAGTTAGCACTGCATTACATATATCATTTTTCATGTAATTTTGTGGCCAAAAAATACATGGACAAGTGTGTATTAGCACAAGCAATACACTTGTGAATTCATTTGAAACTAGTCTGTAAAGAGAATGCAGATTCCCTTTGGAAATCTGTTGTGCATGGCATGAATGTCAGAGTATTCAATGACAAGTGATTTATGAGGATTTTTTTTTTATCTTAAGAAAATAGTTGCTTGTTCTTTTGTGGAGTCTTTATGACTGTCAACTCTGCAGTAGTAGACAAAAGAGATTAAATTAACACTTAGCTTTTTACAAAGGGAAGGATATTTGACATGGAAATTAAAAAACAACAACAACAACAATGTTGAGTTAAACCCAAAAGCCTTTTATGTTGCCTTTTATTGAGTCTAATCTTTTACTGAGGTGAATGAGTTCTTTCCCTCTTTATGTGTATGAAGCACACACAAAAAGAGTCACACCTCACAGCACAGTTCAACTTGCATCATTTTCCATTCTGCCTTTAATTTTTATTCTGTATATAATATAGCAGTATTTAATAAAAATTAAAGTGAGGAAGATTGTTAAATCATGTAGTTAATATTCGTGTTGCCATTTAGTAGACTTATCCACAGGGGAAGAAAAAAAGGGATAAAACATTTTTCTCCTTGCTCCACCATCTTAATGGTGGCTGGCCCCAGGATGGGCCCAGTAGATGTGATGCCATTGCCACAAAAAACATGCATGTCCCTCAGTAGCTTGTTCTTCTTTCCTTGCCACATTATTTGTGCAAATCCTGTTGTCTGTGAAATATGACAGAAGGCCAAGTGGAAATGAGTGTAATTCCAGCTGAAGTGGGAGTGGGGAAGAGTGAAGGCTTCTCACTTCTGTATGAGCCTGTAGGAAATCATGTTTTTTGTGTATTCTTCATTTATAAATTTGAACCCATCGAACAGCATGAAGTCTCCTATAATGGCAGTATTTAACACATACCAGAAATTCTACCTCAAAACTACACTGGTTGCTTGCATCCATTTAGCTATAATGATGATATGTAGAAAACGAAGGCTGTTATCAAGGCTGCATATGGATCAGGCACGTTAATGAAAGGTAGCAGGCTTGTTTGAAGTTGAAATGCAAATCAGTCAGGATGCTTTAGTCAGAAAGTTGGAAAGAAGCTGAGCCAGAGTCAACACATGAGCTCAGTATTACCTTTCAAAGTCATTATTCATTTTCTATGACAAAATCTGTCACGTGGATTTAACAACTTCCTGTAGTTAATCTTTCAAGTAGCTGAGGCTTTTTTTTAAACAATTTTCGTAGGGTAAATAAACAAGATCAAGTGTTGTGTTGTAACCCAGTAGTAAAGTTGGATGCTGCAGTGATATGATACCCTGGCAAATAAAAGTACATCGAAATGGATGGAAGAGCATAGTGGCATTCCTGAGGGCTGATTGAGACACACATCTTAATGAAACAATTACTGTGTTTGTTACTTAATCTGTAGAAAATCTCTCAGCCAAAGAACTGAAGAAGATGCTTAGCAAGCAAAGAAGAGCACAGAAGAAAGCAAAACTTGAAGAGGAAAGAAAGCATGCAGAAAGAGAGAGACAGCAAAAGAATCAAAAGAAAAAGCGAGATGAAGAGGAAGAGGAAACTAGTGGACCTAGGGAAGAACTAGTTCCTGAAAAACTGGAAAGGGTTAGCATGGAGTCTTTGTTACCTTTGGGTCATTATCTTAACAAACCTATAATACAGATTGATTGATACAGTTTTTCTAAAATAGTCCATCAATTTATGTGTGCAAAGATACCTTTTATTTATAGGCTACTTATACTGAAGAATGATAATTTTTTTCTGATAAATTGAAATTCTGTGTTTATATTATTGCTTTAAATCTTGATTCTTCCAAAAGTAAGCCATCTTCCATAAGATTCTGAACAAAAAGATGATTCTTGCCCAAAGCACTGTTAGTTTTCATACAGCGAAAAGAAAGAAGTTAACAGAAATGATTGCAGTCCACAGAGTATGAAAACAAAGCCAGTATTTCCTTAAGCACAAAGAATTTCCCTTTATCAAAGTAACTTCAGAAGCTTAAACTTTTTGCCTGAGGTGATCATATGTTCTTTTTAACTGCTAACTTAGACCATAACCTATTGCACTACATGAGCGGTGCCAGAGTTAGCACTGCTGTTGCCTTTGTCAATATGAAGTCATGAGTACACACTTTGAAATCTTAGCTTTCTGAATTTTGTTTGAATAGTGCTTGAACACTTCACCTTTGGCCTCTGATTGTTTAAATGCTCTGAAGAACAAACTATTATTGGTAGATTGTGTCAGACCTTTATTTGTATTCTTTACTTTCATTGTGTGTTTGTTAACAGGCAGAAAATCCATTAGAAGAAGCCATTAAATTCCTTATTCCACTTAAGAATCTTATTGGAGATAACATAGACACCCATTTATTAGCATTTGAAATATACTTTAGAAAAGGTAAAGTATCACTTATTTTTGCTCTACAGATTTTTAATTCTTCACTGTGACCTGTGTTATTTGACTGTTACAGAATCACAGAATCCTTAGAGTTGGAAGGAGCCTCTGAGGGCCATCTGGTCCAATTCCCCTGTTGACTGTTGTCTAAAATATACTGAAACAGATAATTCCTTAACTGACTGAAGCAGGGATATGTGATATCCAGAAATTGTGGGGCATATACAATACAAAATGCTAAGAGGAAAATAAGTGTTAGCATACCCTGATGAATGCTATAGGAATATATCTGTAGTGTAGTCTTTAGGGGAACACAAAAGCAAACAGAAGCATTATCAGTTTTGTCAGTTTGATCTTTAGGAATTTCTGTATACTTAAGAAGGTTAAGTGCAAAAAGTAAATCTGATTTCTCTGTAGATCTTGATATTTCTAATGTTTTTACCAGATTTACTAAATAAAACAGTAGCTAACGCAGAGAACTAAAAGAAGTTGCATGTTTTCAATCTCAACGTGGTTTTGTTTTTTTTTCCCTTCCCACAGGAAAGTTTCTGTTAATGTTACAGTCTGTCAAAAGAGCTTTTGCTATCAACAGTAATAATCCATGGCTTCATGAGTGCTTGATTAAATTCTCTAAAGCTGGTATGTGTATAGGAAGTACGTACATATGTATGTATAAGGATATAGGAGGTAATGTGAATGAATGCATAAATACATGTTTTTGTCATGTGTAAATATACTCTTGAAACACAAGCTGAAGTCAAGACAAAAATGAATGGTTTGTTTTTCTAGGCAATACCTAAGAAAGCACAGGCTGTGCTGTGCAGGGTAAAATATACATGAATTTTACATACTTCTTCCTGCATTAATCCAGCAGGTGGACCCAGTAAGTCACTGGTTAGACTTCACAGAGAAATAGGTGTTCCAGAGTCCCTTGAAATTCCTAAACGTTTTAACAAATCAAGTATCAAATATGAGAGAGAGATTCTGACTGAAGTGAAGTATGTGCTGTGAGCTTTGTGTGTTAGGTAGCAGAAAATACATGTAGCAGAGAGCTTGTATGAATAATTCATATATAAATGCATCTGTAATGCGTTTATAGAGCTAAAATGAAATTGTGCAAATGCATGTTTTTCTTTTTACGTGCAACTACTTTGATTTTTAGAAGCCTATTAATAAATAATATAAAAAAAAATTATGAAGAATAGAAACTGAACAAGCACTATAGAGTTTATAAATTTCTTAAATCACAGAATCATAGAATGGCCTGGGTTGAAAAGGACCACAATGATCATCTGGTTTCAACCTCCTGCTGTGTGCAGGGTTGCCAACCACTGGACCAGGCTGCCCAGAGCCACATCCAGCCTGGCCTTGAATGCCTCCAGGGATGGGGCATCCACAGCCTCTTGGGCAACCTGTTCCAGTGCATCACCACCCTCTGTGTGAAAAACTTCCTCCTAATATCCAACCTAAACCTCCCTTGTCTCAGTTTAAAGCCATTCCCCCTTGTCCCATCACTATCCACCCATGTAAACAGTCTTTCTTCCTCCTGTTCATACACTCCCTTCAAATATTGGAAGGCCACAATGAGATCTCCCCAGAAGAAGCACTAACAAACCAAGTGTTTCCTTTTGTCATATATATCAGCTTATCAGATTTAAATGTGAAGTCTTAAGTGTTCTAGGATGATAAACTATACGTAAGACTATAAAGACAAACTGGTTGAATATTTCTTGCTGACTTCATTCACAGATAGGTGATTGAAAGTCACTCTGACTAGTAGCATATGTTTTCATCAGAACATGTATGTGTTTGCAACAAACATGTTTCAAAATGTAATCATTCTGACAGATTTGTTTTCTGTATACTGAAGTGCTGACTTACAATACTGTTGATCTGAGATTTGTTTCTGGGCACAGATTTGTGAATTAGAAAAGAAAGTTTTGCAGTGATGTTTGTTGTTTCACATTGTTTTCTACAGTTGTCTAATAGTATTTTTTTTTCCCACCTCTCCCTCTTACCCTGCCCCTTTCCAGTATCTGACCACAGTAACCTCCCAGAAATTGTGAGCAAGGTCCTAACTCAAGAAATGCAGAAAATCTTTGTCAATAAAAATTTGGAAAGTTTTAATGAGGAGTTTCTCAAACACAATGCTACCTCCATTCAGCACCAACTTTCAGGTTTGTTTAACTTTCCAATGCTTTTGCAAACGTGTTGATTTCAGTGATTCATGTTACCAATCAATTTCTTCATTATACATCGGTTGGAAAGACACAGAAACTTGCCTGTTTACTTTTTTTCTCTGCCTGCTTATACCTCTTAAAGCAAACAAAACAAAAAAAACCCCACACAACTTACTCACTTTGTGCATTAGATGCTTAAGGAACCTGCTGCTTACCTCTCTGAAGTCTAATAGCAGAACACCTGTAGTGGATTTGATAGCTTAAGCATGGAAGCAACGTCATCTCTTCTGTTTCAGCTTTTAATGTTGAAATAATTAGAAAATATAAAGCAAAACAAGAACGTCTAGCAAATGTAATTATAAAAATCTTACATGGCAAAAGCAGTGTTTTTCCTCCTCTTTTCTATTCAACTGGAATGTCTCAGGAATATTGTCATAACTTAGTCAAGTAGCAATAGCGTGAATAAAAATAGGACAAACTTCTTTTTCTGCTCACTAGGCAACAGTGAAAACATGCAAACATGACAAATTCATATTACTTCTGTAGAAAAGTTATGAACAGCTGCTGGATTTGAGAAAACTTGATTTTTTTTTTTTTCTTCAATTTCCAGTACTAATCTCACTTAGTTTGCAAAAGTTATCCAAGTTCTGCCAGGGTTCACTGGAGAAAGTTAGCTCCAGAGAGCTGATGGCCTGGCTTAGAGGAGGAGTTTGGGTGTAAGTCATCCCAAACTTAGAAGAGCTCTGTTTCAGAACGGCATCTTGAGAGAAATACTATCACCCTTTTCCCTTTGAGCAGGTTCAGGTGTTGGGAAGTCAAGTACAGGTATCTCAGCAGATGTTTGCTCCTGATTCTTTCAGATGTGGTGTTCTAATCTTTTCATCTTGTTAGGCATCTTACTGGATGTTTTCCAGGTTCTACTTTCTCTTTGCATGTTATTATGGAAATATGTTTATTTTGTCCTAGTAATTCTACAGGATCCAATGTGTCTGTATATGCAGCATTGCATTTAGTAATGCTATTATCTCAATGTTATGCTTTTTTTTTTTGTGATAAGGTGCAAAAATGATGTATTTTCTGGACAAATCGAGGCAAGAAAAAGCAATTGCTGTGGCTACTAGATTGGATAAAAACATGAGAGACAAAAATGTGAAGGTAAAAAATGCAGTATTGAGAGAAGTGTGTAAAAGAATGTGTACTTAACTGAATGATAATATACATGCTTTATTTGTCATGATAAATTAATATTCAGAAGAGTGAGGTTTTTGAACTTTGGAAAAAGTTAATTATATCTAAATACCAACACAATACCTGTCTTTGTTCAGATTAGTAAAATTTAAAGGCATTAACAGTTATTAACTGTTCCTTTTCTTTCTGTAGACATTAACCAAGGTTTTTGAGGCACTGCTTGACGGCAGTTTTGGAAGTTGCCACACTCAATGTGAAGAATATCAAGCAGCCTGTCATAAACTGTTTCCTTTTACATCTGCCTTTATGCCTGCCACAAACGAAGATGATAGCAGCATTGCATCTGTGAATCATACAGCCATTAACCACGACTTACTGTCTAATGAAATATGAAGTAGCATATGCAAGCCCGTGTGTGTGTGCCTACATACCCACACACACATACAAAACTCTGACTGTCATTACATGCTGGCTGGATACGGATCAGGGTTACTTTTCCAGGTTGCATTTTAATATCTTTAACAGGTCTAAAATGAAATATTCGGTTAGCTTAATGAAATGGAGTATCCTGTTAGTTACTTTTTTTCCTCCCAACAAAAACTGCCAATATTTATGTAAACATGATCTTTAATCAGCATTTTTCATGTTTATACTTGTACAGTTTTAAGTCTTTTAATAATCCATCAGCCCTCCCTCACAAAAAGGAAAATGATGGATGTTAGACTGCTTTCACAAGTGTCATTGCATATACATATGAATGTGATCATATCCTGTTAAGAAATGATCTTTTGAGCATCTTTAGCAGATTAAGACAGAAGTGCTGCTTGAATGACCCTCTTCATCTTCTACTCTTGTTCTTGGGATTTTATTTTTTTTACCTTTTATTTTTTAACCTTTGCTCAGTTTGGTTTCTTTTGAAGCACAGTGGATGTTGGCGGTTTGCATGTTTTTGTAAGGTGTGTGTCTCATGGAACCGGTGTTGACGGATATGAAGATTAGGTTTGTATGAAAACTAAGGGTTTTTGAAAACTGTATTCTATCTGCCTTGTGTTCCATAACTATTATTTCTTAAGTTTATGATCAGCTTAACGTTTTCTGTTTGAGTATTCTCAAGCAACTCCCTGAAAATGCAATGAATTTAATACTGTTGTCTGTTTTGGTTTTTTATTGTTGTTGTTCCATCTTCCCCTTCTTTCTCTCGCTTCTGATTTCTCCCCATCTGTTCACTTACTGACATTTAAGTTAAAAAAGCTGCTCCAATATTGGGTAAATGCATAAGGTACAGTAAAGGGGGATGCAGTTCCCCTCTACATCCTACAAATTCACTGCTAAGTTTACTGTATTACCTCCATTAAAAGTCTTAGTTGTGAATTTATGGCCAATATATCAGCACTTCTCCTGCCTAAACACTATTGCTGTAGGTGCTGCAAAGCAAGCAGTATGTGAGGAGTGTGTTTTATAGTTAAAAACTGTTCAAGAGAGCACGAAGAGGATGACTACAAATCACAATGAATCTTTTTCTTTATTCTGGTGCATTAACTATTAAATACACGACATGAAAATGGAAGTTTGAATCTAATATACCTATTTAAAGCATAATGCTGGACAAAATGGCTACATATGACAGCTTTACATTCTATAAAGAACTGCTATCAAAATATAACTATACTGTGGCTTGTACAGAAAATCCATTTTCTGGAAACTGTAATGGAATCATTCAGTCAGTTTTGTTTTTATTCCACTGCAGTGTAAATAATTTCAGTAATATTAACTAGCCCCTCTAAGGCAAATATGAATTCACGAAGAGGGGATTTTATTAAGACAAATAAACTGTTCTAATTAAAATTCTCTTTTGTGTGTCATCTATTTAGATTCAAAACTGTTGAATGGAAGACTCACTGTAAAATATTGCCAACATATGTTATGCTGTAATAAATTATTTTGTACACACTTGCCTTTGCTTTGGAATTCTTGTGTATTTATGGACATCAAACATCAGCCCATCACACATTTGTTAATTTGTTTTCAGTTGCATATTCACTGGTTTAACCCAAACTCTCGAAATAGTTGAAAAGTAATGGCTGTATTTATCATATTGATGTATAATTCATATATGGTAATATGCTACCCTTAGAAATGCAGCAGGACATCTTTATGTTATGTATTCCCCGTGCCGTTTCGCTGTTGAACAGCTTGTGTCTCAGGCAGAGAATGGTAACTGACCATGATGGAGTTGTTTTGGCTCAGCTGACCCCTGGCACCACCTATCAGCCTGCATACAGTGGAGATGTTGGTGCAGTCCTTCCTGTCTTAGTGTGATGACACAGTGCTAGAAATGTAATTCAGATCTTCAAAAGAAAGCTGCAGCAGTATGGATGGGAAGGTAAGGCTGCTATTCCAGTCCTCCAGCATCTGTTAAGCTTGCATTTTTTTCAGATCATAGAATCACCAAGGTTGGAAGAGACCTAAAAGATCACCCAGTCCAACCGTTCACCTATTCCCAATAGCTCCCACTAAACCATGTCCCTCAACACAACATCCAGTCTTTCCTTGAACACCCCCAGGGTCGGTGACTCCACCACCTCCCTGGGCAGTCCATTCCAGTGCCTGACCACCCTTTCTGAAAAGTAATACTTCCTAATGTCCAGCCTGAATCTCCCCTGCCGTAGCTTGAAGCCATTCCCCCTGGTCCTATCACTAATGACACGAGAGAAGAGGCCGACCCCCAGCTCACTACAACCTCCCTTCAGGAAGTTACAGAGAGCAATGAGGTCTCCCCTGAGCCTCCTTTTCTCCAGGCTGAACATTCCCAGCTCCTTCAGCCTCTCCTCATATGGCCTGTGTTCCAGACCCCTCACCAGCTTTGTTGCCCTCCTTTGAACACGTTCCAGGGCCTCAATATCTTTCTTGCAGTGAGGGGCCCAAAACTGGACACAGTACTCGAGGTGCGGCCTCACCAGTGCTGAATACAGGGGAACAATCACCTCTCTGCTCCTGCTTGCAACACTGTTTCTGATGCAAGCCAAAAACTCAAACAAAAATACTTGGCTTCTCTTTTAGCAGTTTACTGCATGAGAAAACTGATAGTCTTGACTTCGGGACTTCTAAAATTGTAGGTCCTGTTCTGAGAATCCTGAAAATAGGGATTCATTCTTCTGTGACCCAGTGTGTGGCTGTTTTTCCTGTGGAAGGTCTGGAGGCGTAAGCTGCTGAGTTTTGGGGCTGTCTTTACAGGTAGAAATCATTGCAGAGGAAGTGTAAGGTAGTATGGCATGAATAAAGAAAGTAAGGAAGAACAGCAAATGATAAGCAAAAGCGTTTTTCTTTAAAATACTATGGAATGATTTGGTGTCCTCAGTAAATCTGAATTTAGAAAAGGCATCAAGCTGAGCAGCCCTGATAAGCCTTCCAAGAGGAAGCATGCCATAATATATAAATGCTAACAGTGTATATATGTCTAATCAGTATTTCACATTCCAACATACTGAGCTCTTGTAGCAGATGTGATATGCCAGGAGGTAGCTGATCTTTTCTTATCAGTCTGCTGGCACTGAAATAATTGCTTGAGTGCATCAAGAATCTGTGGACAACCCAGATCCAGTCAGTTTGTGGAAGTAACCTGCAAGTTGAACAGCCTTAGATCTCCTTCATCCCAGAGGACTCTCCCTATTGTCTGATCTCAGTTCTGGGTCTGGTTATCAGTTCCAAAAGGAGGCAAGCCAGAAGGAATAGGTAAGAGCTGAGACTCCAGGTGTTTCTTATTTTCACCACCACCTATTCCTCTGAAAATAGTCAATTATCATCATTTTTTAAAGGCTTTGATTAATCAAATAAATAATACTGTTTTGCTCTGGCAAATTGACATTTCTGTATAGGCAAGGTTTGATAGAATAACAAGAAACATTTTTAATCGTATCAATAGCGTTATATATAGCACTAAAAACTATGCATGCTAGTAATAGTACATGCAAACACTTTAAGATCTTGAGGTGCATTCTTACATCCTTCAAATCTAATCTGTGGTCCAGGTGGGCATGATGTGATGACTGCTTTAGCAGCCTAGAACTACCTGGAGATGGGATTTTCTGTCCAGGCAGGATGAGAACATGCAAATGCAGTGAGAGGCTGCCTGCAGAACACAGAACCTGCTTGTCTGGGCAGGTCTTGTGGTAATTTGTGATAAACGAAAATGTCTGTGTGGTAAATGAAAATGAATGCACGTGGAAGCTCGAACCCTAGGGTTCTTTTCAGCCTGTAACCATGCAACTTAGCATTTACTGTTTCACCATCATGATTTTAAGTATTGTTGGCACTGCTTTTTCCTGTCCGTACGCAGGTTTCAATGCAAAGCTGTCAGCTCGTAGCGTTTCCACTAGAGGGAAGTCTTGCATCTAGAATGATTTTATAGTAATGAAAGCCTGCAGCCATCTGTCTGTTTTCAGGTGTTTTCTGATATTGTTGGACAAACACAAGGAAATGTTTAATGTCTTTATTTCCTTCAGACAGCAGAGAGAGGTCGTTTGCTTAAATGGCTGAATCAGATTCGCATTCATGTAGCCCAGGCATCCATAGGTCTTGACTTGGAGTTTTGAGGCTGGGAGCCTGGCCATATGTGCCAACTGATGGAGAACAGAGGGCACTGTAGAGGATAACTGAGCCCCCGTCCAGTCAGAATAACCTGGGAGACCTCACTTCATATGCAGAAAGCATTGAGCAGCCTAGTTCCTGCCTTAACCCCTGGGCCTTGGAAGAGAGGCAGAACAGCCTTGAGGATTAGCATTTAGTCATGGGCTAAATACATTGCCTGTTCACTGCTCACACTTTTTTTCCTATTAAACATACTTCAAGCCTAGACAAAGTTTTTGAGAGCATGCTGGTAAGGTTCAGGAGGAGGTTCAGGTTTTGAGAGATTTGCAGAGGTATTTCAGGTATGAGGAGTAGGAAACGTGGTGTTTCCAGAATGGTTTGTGTATGATAAGTGATTCAACCTAAAGTAACCAGGAGGTGATGCTCAGAGCAGGAGCTGCCTGCCTGTTCTCTGCACAAAGGCACGAGGCAGACCTGGCTCACCAGTATGCCTTAAAACCTGCCCATGAACAGCAGACTAACTGCGTGAGTCCTGGCTCTGTGAATTGCAGTGTGGGAGATATCAAAGGAGTCTGTTGTCGCTGGAGATGTCTAATCAAGTTTTACCTAATCCACACATGACTGTATTTCATACAAGCACAGAGTGCCTCGTCATAGAGTCTTGGGATGGCTCGGGTTGGAAGAGACCTCAGAGATGATCTAGTTAGTCAGCTTGGGCAGTGCGCCTGCACGTGAACTGGATTGGACTGTAGGCAGCCTACTTCTAACCCTTATTATTTTGATACCAGGACGTGTAAGGCTGAAATCCTGTTTGCTTGTGATGTGCAGGCTCCTCTGTAACGTACTGCGCTGAAAGATGCACAACCACACGATACTTCAGCCTCCCTGGGGATTTCTTCATTTCTAAAAGCTGAGCAGCAGGTTGTCTTCTCCCTGCGGCATCCCTCCTCCAGCCTCTCCCCCTGCTACAGGGGCCTTGGCACTTGCTGTTCACTTCTGTGAGCGGGATCAGATCAACAGCTTGTCAGGTACCTAACCCAGCAAACGTGGGTTGGTTGTCTGTCAGTAACTGGCAGTAATAGTGCAGGCAGTGATGTCAGATCAAATACTTGAGGAGATGCCCACACACAGGTGAATCAGGATGTGAATGCTTTGTTTACAGCCTTCCATTCAGGGAAGGTAAAAATTCCTCTCCCTTGCTTCCAAACATAGAAAGCATGTTTTTTTGGGAGGAAGCCATGCTCCTGCTAGGATTATTGAGGCAGAGCCCTGGCTGTGGCCATGCATGTTTCTTTCTAATGGAAAGATCACAGCTCTCCCATCTCTGAGGGGTGAAAGGTACTGGGGAAATGGCAGCAACAAATAACTCATTGAAGGAAAGGTATCTCTGTGTAAATCTGTTTTCAGCCAATTTCTCCTCAGTGTTGTCCATCTTGAGAGCAACCCTGGTCTTCCTTAGGACAGAGGGCTGTGGTGCAAGCCTGACTATTGGATTCATGACCCACCGCTGCACAGGTTGGCTGAGGAGATGTGGCTTTTTTCCCTTCTCTTTCCTTCTCTTGTCTCATCCTTCATGCTGAGAGCTCGTAACCCTGCTCTTCATAACAAGAGATTTATCTTTGGATCAAGTGCTAGGCCAAATACAACCCTATCTAAGTGGTAGTACGTGTTCTAATTTGGCATGTGAGCTTTGGAGTTTGCTTGTGGCTTCAGTAATCCTGGATACAATACACATTTTTCAGTACCATAGCAGGATAGATCTGGATGTACAGAGCTACTGCTTTCGGGTCTCTGCAGTGGCAAAGCCAGGCTGGACATGGCTGTGGGCAGCCTGGTCTGGTGTTTGGCAACCCTGCCCATGGCAGGGGGGTTGAAACTAGATGATCATTGTGGTTCCTTTTCAATCCAGGCCATTCTGTGTTTTTTTCCAGCAGTATTTTATTTCTATTATTTCTTAATACTTTTTTATGAATACTCTGACTAGTTTAATATGCAAATCCCCTACCATAGGGAAAAAAAAAAAAACGAAACACTAATAAATGGGTACTGGGCAGTAGGCAATTTTGAAATCCTGTTATTTATGGAATAATAGTGAAAAATAGAAAATGAGCATATGGAAGAAGTTGCTGTCACAGATCATCCCCCTGGCTGGGAGAATTAGAGCATGGTTTGTTTAACTTTCATTTGTGAGGAAGACAGGATGCTGCCATAGCTTGTCAGAAAAAATTATTCAAGGCTGAGGAAAAGGGAAAGAACCCAAGACCTTTAAGAATGATTCTTAAACTGAAAAGCAACTGTCTCTGTGGAAAGAGCTGGATGTGGTACGTGGTTTCTGCCTGTAACACTGATCCTTTTCTTCCCAACTA